AATACGAAGTTGTTATACAAAGTATAGAAATAACAGTGATATTTCAATAATTTGTAATGAAATGATAACATTTTTATAGATAGACGGGAGGGAGTCTATGGCCCAATTACTGATTATGGATCAATATGGCTTTGAAAAACGAAGTGCCAGTACAATATGTACGAGTACGAAAAGTCAATTTTAATGATAATTAATGCAAAACATCATGCACATCTAGGAAACGGGCTCATTTGTATAAATATATGTAGGTATATTGAAAAATATGAACTAAAACTGACGACGATTGAAGTAGAGTTATCGCGATTCCACTGTACGAGGTTACGTAATTAAGTTTTGGGCTTAAAAAAATTGTAAAGCTATCATTTGTAAACTGACGGAAATAATTTATGGAACAGTGTTGGCTTGTTCGTTCGGGGTACCATAGTATTTTCTTGTTATGCTACTTCGTTCATGTAAAACGAAAACATAACAAGTGGAGAAAAATGAACATGTTTATAAGTTCGGTTGTAAGATTTGGAAGATTTCCCAAAAGAATTTTAGTTTTATGTAATTCTTTGGTTTCTCTTCTATTGAGCTTCCGATCTCGTCACTTGGGTAAAAATTGTTTTTTTGTCATAGAACTTATTTTTTTTTAAATAACTTCTGGGGAGAATATCCCAGACAAAAAACAAGGGAACTAATGAGGATTGGTGGCTCTTTCCGAAACCCAGGTATTCCCTGCTTACCCCCTGGTTCTCCACTAATAAACTAACGTTGTTTTTATAAAAACAACGATAAAGGGACTAAGCCTGACAATTGTGCAACAACAAAAAAAATTATTTTAACAATCAATTGATATATCCAAAACGGATATTTCCAACGACTAGTCAGTCAATATAAGTATTTTAATTGGAGGGTGATTTATTTGAAATATTTACCCAAAACATTGGCGATTGCATCTGATATAACTTACTCTAAAATGGAAAGGGATCTATCCTTAGCAACCTCACCCGAAACATTTTGATAATCTTCATTTTACCCTTTAAAAGTAAGACTGAACAACACAACCTACATGTCACGAGTTTAACTAATCAGTACAATGTGATCCTTAATAAATCCATTTTCCAAAAGGAATATACAAATGATGACAATTTTGTTGCACTGTGTAATTGAAAACACGTGCCTTACAAAATCTACATATTAAAATAATAAAAACAAAATAAAAACATACCACTTTTTAAATATGACCTAAGAGCTGTTTCAAACACCGACGAATTATTAAATAATTCAAGTGAATATATCAGAGTATTAGTCTTGGATTAAGCAAATGATTTACGAGCTGGCGTTTTAATTATAGACGAAAACCGAAGGTGGGTATATTGGAGGTTCATTAGACAGGTTATGGTATTGTATCGATATTGTGATAAGAATTAAAGCCATATCCTTTGGAGATTTGACCAAGGCTTTCAAAATCACTAGCATGTGGTGTTATCATAATTGGTGAAGGGTGTAATATTCCAAATACCACATCAAAGCTGAGTATGGCATAAAAATATAAACAAATTAGTGTCACTTTTTTTCTATTGCATTGAAGATTTGTCATATGTTTAATTATTTACATTTTTATTGCGACATATACAATTGATTGATTTAAATTTCGATTAAAAACTGCGCACATAACAATTGCACATTTCAAACTTTTTATCAGTATTAAATGAAATCCTTCTGGTACCATTCCCACAAGGAAGAAAGTAGTCGATATAGTCCAAATCTGGAAAGTCGTAATACTTATATTAGACTGTTGTCAGGTCCAACTTTGGCCTACTCCTTCTGATACCTCCTCCATAAAAGATCAACATTTTGAGCAAGCATAACGTATGTCAGAATTTATTTAAATATACGGACTGCCGCTCTAACTTGTCTGAATTTTGAAAATCGTTGCCATCGAACGGGAGCATAAATTGTATACAACTTTTTAAGCGTATATCACATAAATCCCAGTTGATTCGTTTATTTCAAACATAAATGAATATTTAGATAATAAAACGAAAATTGTCATTTTAGATAGAAGCAATTAAAAAAAAAATGTTAAGTTCGACCAAACCAATCTACCCTCCGCCAAAGTGGTTAAACACCTTTATAAATATAAATATCGGGATCAGTAGTTAAAAGAGCGTTATTTTAAACTGCAAATACCAGTGACATCGGTTGGAGGTTACATTAAAGGTAAGTATGAGATGAGATAGGTTTTTAATGTTTAGCTCTCTCTCTCTCTATTCTAAGTCTTTAAAATGTCACTCCAAAGCGTAAACCTTCATAATCAATATAATTTTTCGCCGAACAACAATATATACTTTGTAAGGTCCAACCTGATCATTTCATGGAGCTACAAATGGAATGACAAAGTTAAAATATTATTTAATTCTACAGCTTAGGTGAGAGAGAGAGAGAGGGAGATAATACATCATATAGCAATTCAGTTATAGCCTCAGAATTATATAAGATTCATGAGCAATCATGAAGTCATTAAAGGTATGCCATGTAGGATATCTTTGAACAGTATTCATGTTTGGTTGGTAAGATTAGCGCTGTACCCAATAGATGTACTAGTAGATAAAAATTATTAACTTGTGCATGTTAATAATTTTTATCGTTTGGGTTGGTGCATATATGCAATCTTAGCAATTAATCAAAACTAAAAACAGTAAGTTGCCCAAATGTACCTAATTTATATATCGTTCGCAATGTATGAATTCCATGATGCTCCACCATACATAGTATGGAGGGTATATTAAGTTTGTCATTCCGTTTGTAACTCATCGAAATAATGATCAAGTTCCGATATCGGTCTACACTTCCATGATTGTAGCCACATTTTCCAATGGAATTGTTTGAAATTCAGCACTTGAAGTTAATTTTGGGTACCGTACCCATATAACGGTACCTCCCGACATCCGGAATTTTGACGATTTTAGCAAAATTTGTCTGGAATCAGATATGAGGATTTCTTAGTAGCTACTTTTGACATTCATGAAAAATTGTGTAACTAGGGCATATAGCCAAATTACCCACAGACATTCTGTATTTTCATGATTGATATTGTCTTCTCCTAGGCGATAATTGTCTGTATAGGTTCACTTACTCCTCGATATTCGACATTTTGATGAATTTGGTCAGATATTTCAGTGGATTTATTTTTAATATAAGCCGGTATATTGGTATATGTATGGGTTTCTTGGCACATTCTTCCGTAGTCCGAATAAACAATAATAATCTTGCAAAAGTGGATCTATTTGAATTATATTTTTCAAAAATCTAAAAAATATATAAAAAAAAATATTTTGTGCACCAAACGTGTAATGTCAGTCCGAATAGTATGGAATTTTGCACATACAACCAAATTAGGCCTGAAAATAAGTGCGCCAAATTTGATCGAAATCGGTTCAGATATAGCTATAGCTCCCATATATATTGTTCATCCGATTTGTTGTATTTGTTACCTACAGCCGTAATATGCACTTCGTAACAACGATATTCAGGGAAATATATCAAATACAGCTCAGACATATCTTTGCCAAATTTTATCGATATCGCCAAATTTTTGGATATAGCTCCCATATATATCTTTATTTGATTTCAAATTATTTATGCACCAAATGGGCAATACAAGTCCGAATTTAAAAGATACATATGCTTCGGCATATTTAGTCCTTTGAACTTTAAATTATAATTATAATCATAGCGTGTATGATTGATTTCTCTCATAAAAACTTTTAATTGTCATGTGGAGATCTACTAAATTAGCAAAGTGGTGTAGGGTATCATAAAGTCGGCCCCGCCCGACTTTAGGACTTTCTTTACTGGTTATGCATTACATCTGAGCTTACATCGATACAAATATAGTTTCCTGCAAAATGAGAACTAAATCGGAGACTCTCCTCTTTATATGCTCATGCCTATTTGTGTATGTGTGAGTTCGAAAAGTGTGATATATATTTGGATGCCCCATAGCTTTGTGGTCACTCATTGTTCAAAATTAGCGAAAACTACGAAATTATGACACTTTTCAAATAGAAAACAAAAGAACAAGTACTCGTTCCGTTTTCGATTCGTTTCAATTACAAAATTGTTTAGAAGCCGATAGCTTGTGTATCGTTCTTATCGGCTCAACAGAAGGAGGGTAAAATTTAAAATATTAACTTAGTTCCCGTTTCGCCTTCAATATTTTTGGAAAGACCGAAGGTTTTCGATTTATTTTCCCGGTTGCTTTGGTAAAAACCCCGGCAATTGTTTAACTTACTAATAAATTATGCTGGGTGTTTGATTTCCATCACAAATCAAATAACAAATTGCGTTTGTGTGCTTATGAAAACTTTACATATCCGAATGGTCACACCTACAATACAATAACTTCATTGATTTTATTTAAAGTGGGATTTCTCAGAATCGTTTTCATACTGCTGAAGGAAATTATTCCAACTTAATTTGAATAAATAGTAGTTCGATCACAAGATATTTGTTTGATTTTTGTTAATTCAGAATTCGAAGAACTTTTCACAAATAATGAACTTGAAATTGCAAAAAAAAAAGTACCCAAGAACAGCCATAAAAAATTACACACAACACTTTTGTTAATAAAACTGGTTTTTCTATTCCGACTTGCTGAGAGATGGGCAAAACCACATTCAACTGCACAACCACACTTAATTAAGCCAACTGTGAGTTGGTGGGGGTAGGTTTGGGGTATCTTAGTATTGATTCACACGAGTTTCTTGCTGTCGTTGTTGTTGTTTGTATATTCGATTGACTGTTTTTAACCGGATTCACTCTATGGTCATCCAAAATTATAGTTCATAAGCTCGTTGTCGTACATCGAGACCTTACGAATAAATATATCTGTCTGTCTGTACGTTCTGCATGTATGAGTGTCGATGTAGATGCGTGTGTACACCACTCATATTTATTCTCAATAATTTCAAATAAAAAATTTATTTTGAAAACGTATCTTAAGCTAAACTCACTATTTCAAGAAGAGCTAGAAGAAAACGACCGATCGCTTAGACGATCTACAAAGAACTGATTTCGGTCTGACCGTTGCTCTGCCATCAAAAGGGGGCAGCGAATCAATATTGTAATTTTAATCGAAGCTGCAGATGTTCCTCTGAAACGAAGATGAGCAGTTTATTCAGTTTGTGTGTCATTCGTTTGTGCACAAAAAGATTTAGTTCTGATTGAGCTTTTAGTTAAATAATAATAAAAAGCTTTCTGCTGCTAGCATTAACATAATGTCCATAAATACAATACAGATGGCGTTTATCGGCAACAAATTGTAACCAGTGCCCTATGGGGTCGATGGCATGTTTTTGAGACAACAAATCATATTTTGAAGTTAGTCATTTGAATAAAAAATAAAAAAAACGTTAAGTTCGGTCTGGCCAAACTTTTAATACCCTCCACCTTAGGGTAAAGGAAACATTATAGCCCATTATGACCCACATATACCAACTTTTAGAAAAATTCATGGGGAAATGTGCCAAAAATCATCAAAATATCGAATATTGGAATATACGGCTATATGGGGCTATACAAAAACGTGGACCTATACATACAGTGTTTCGCCAAAGGAGCTAGAACCCATTATGACCTGCAACTACCAATTTTCAGAGAAACTCGTGAAAAATGTGTCAAAAATCATCAAAATACCAAATATCGGGAGGTACCGTTATATGGGGACTATACCAAAACGTGGACCGATATATCTCATTTTCAATACCAACCATCCTAGACACAATACAAATTGCCCTGCTAAATTTTGGCGCTCTACGTCAAATAATGTGGGCTGTATCGTGATTTCAACAGACAGACAGACGGACATCGTTAAATCGACTTAGAATTTTATGCTGATTATGAATATATATACTTTATGAGGTCTACGACGAATATTTAAGGAAAACACGTGGAGAAAAATTAAATCTAGATTATTATTATTAACAAGTAAAAAAGCAGTAAGTTCGGCCGGGCCGAACTTTGAATACCCTCCACCATTTGGAACGAATTAGAAAATTTTCAAAAAAATAAAATCCATTAAAAATTCTTATAAAATCTTTAAAATATCTAATGTAGGAAGGTGCCGATATATGGGAGGAATATACGATATTGTGGACCTATAAAGAGAAATCTATGTCTGGGTGTAAAGTACTCACAAGGAACTCCTTGTGTGGATTTTCAGATAATTCCATTGGAAAAAGTGGCTAAAATCATCATCACCGTTATATGGGGGATGTACGATATCGTGGACCGATGTAGCCCATCTTCGAACTTGACCTGCCTGCAGACAAAAGAGAGATCTATGCAAAATTAGCTTCCTATCTTAATTCGTTTAGACTGTAGCGTGATTACAACAGGCGGACAGACGGACGTACGGGGCTACATCGTCTTAGAATTTTACGCTGATCAAGAATATATATACTTTGTTGGGTCTAAAATGATTATTTCGATGAGTTACAAACGGAATGACGAACTTAATATACCATCCATACTATGTATGGTGGAGGGTATAAAAATAAAAAGTATTGTTAAACGTTGTAAATTTTCTCTGAGGTGAATGTGTTCATAGTGTATTTTAATATAGTATTTGTATTCGTTCGTGTGTCATTTGGAGTAGAACTTTCGGTATTGGGACGTATTTTGTAAACAATATACATGTGGTGTAACGTAATATACATGTGGTGAAAAGTAATAAAGTAAATAAATAATAAGACGTTCTATCATATTTTTAAAAAATAGTTTGCACCAATTTGCACCTTTTCGAAAAAAAAACAATTTTCAAGTAGCTTACCGCTCAAAAATTCATATAATTTTTCATTTGGCTGGAAAATCAGCGATAACCCACAAAGGTAGTACAATAGATCTCAGCCATATTGAATTAAATATTATCGACAAATATGAAACATGAGCATGGAACGACAAACTAATAACATTTATGCACAAACTAACCCTAAGAGACTAAGAAACAATGGACCGAAAAGCATTCTTTAAAAGATGAAAAGGTATTTTTGATTCAAGACTTCATCTGATCCGTCCTTGTCAACTACGTATTTTAGCGAGTATGGAAAAGACAAAAGTGAAACTGGTCCGACAATATGATACCCTACATCTCTCTGCATACTTAGTAGAACTTCTAGTAAAAAACAATTGTTTACATTGTGTATTTATTTGAAGTAAATAGTGTCAACAATGATCTTTATTGAATGCCCAATATGGATTCAAATCGGATGAAATATATAAATATAAGAAAGCTATATCTTATTCTGAATTGTTTCCACCAAATTTTAACGATTTATTTTTATGATGTAGTGACCTCTCGTACCAAATATCATTGCATTAAAGGGTATATTACAGGGTTGGTCATATTGCACTAAATTTTTAGTGCACTAAGAATTAAATAATTAGTGGTAGTGCAATTTGTAATTCCACTACCACTAAAGGGTTAGTGGTAGTGAAAAATAAATTGCACTACCACTAAATTTTAGCGAAGCCAAAAAAAGCACTATGTATATAAGTATTATACCAGCTATAATGAAGTTTATTGAAGTGAGTAGGGAACAACAATCCAGAATATATTGTACATATTGAAATTTCAATACCACTATTATATATATATATATATATATATATATATATATATATATATATATATATTATATATATATATATATATATATATATATATATATATATATATATATATATATATATATATATATATATCTATAAAAGAGGAAAATGTTTGTACGTTTGTTTGTTTGTTTGTAATTTATGGACTCGAAAACTGCTGAATAGATTTTTCTGAAAATTTCCATATATACTGCAACATCGCCTGAAAGTAACATAGGCTATATACATTTTTGAATTTCCACTTGGAACTGGAGATATAGCATCAGAATCGGAGGTACCTCCCAAAAATTTAGATTTTATATGCACATATCTATTGATCGGTTAAAGATACAGTCTACAAATTTGGAATGTGTAACGAAATTTGGAACAAAAATAAGTTTGCTAAATTATATTGTAATCGGTTCAGATTTGGATATAGCTCCCATATATATTTTCGACCGATTTCGTTCATTTGATGCCTCAAACACAATATGAATGTTCGATTCCAATGAAATTTGGAATATGTGACGGGATTTGATCCGAAAATAATTTTGTCAAATTTTATTGAAATCGGTTCAGATTTGGATATAGCTCCCATATATATTTTCGGCCGATTTCAAGCATTTGATGCACCAAACACGCTATGTATCCCCAATTTCAATGAAATTTGAAACGTGTGATAGATTTTATCTAAAAAAATTTATTTCCCAAATTATATTGAAATCGGTTCAGATTTGGATATAGCTCCCATATATATTTTCGGCCGATTTCATGTATTTGGTGGACCAAATAATATATGTATGTCCAAATTTAATGAAATTTAAAATAAGTAACGGAATCGGGAGCAAAAATGAATTTTTCAAATTATATTGAAATCGGTTCAGATTTGGATATAGCTCCCATATATATTTTCGACCGATTTCATGTATTTGATGCACCAAACACGCTATGTATCTCTAATTTCAATGAAATTTGGAATCTGTAGGGGAAATTAAAACGAATATACATTTGTCAAATTATAGTAAAATCGGTTCAGATTTGGATATAGCTCTCATATATATTTTCGACCGATTTCATGTATTTTATGCACCATGCACGATATGTATGTTCGATTCCAAAGAAATTTGGAATATGTAACGGGATTTTGATTAGAAAATAAATTAGTCAAATTATATTAAAATCGGTTCAGATTTGGATATAGCTCCCATATATATTTTCCACCGATTTCACATATTTGATGCACAAAACACGATACGTATTTCCGATTCCAATGAAATTCGGCATGAGTGGCTAAACTTGGTACAAAAATAAATTTGACAAATTATATTCAAATACGCTCAGATTTTATGGGAGCTATATATATACTCAGCCGATTTCACATATTTGATGCACCCAAAGCGAGAAAGACGAAATCTGGCACCAGAATAAATTGCCAAATTTTATTGAAATCAGTCGAGGTTTGGGTATAGCTAACATATGTGTGGTTACAATAATAAATGTGACAAATTAATTGGAAATTAGTTAAGATTTGGATATAGCTCCCATATATATATTCTCGGCCGATTTCACGTATTTGACGCACCAATTTCAATGAAATATGAAAGGTGTGGCGGAATTTGGTGTAAAAGTAATTTTTTTAAAATTATATTTAAATCGGATCAGATTGGGATATGATTTTAATAAGAACCATTGACCCACAACGCCTTAGGCTAACACTAAAAAACAACACAACAATTAATTTGAAATACGCTTATTACGGCGAAGTATGTTGCTATCTCGAATTCATTAATTGCAACAGAAATGCCACTCAACTTCAAAAGATTGCAGTTTACTGCACGCTTGGTATTTGCTATGAAATAAATAAATCCGAAGGACAAACCCTTCGTGTATGTATGTCATGTTACTGTTTTTCTAATGGTTTTGTATATTTACACATTAAAGTAGTGCAATAATTTTTTTTTAATTATAAAATTTGTTTTTTTTTAACCAACATATATTCGAAAATAAAATTTTGAATGCATATAAAATCAAAAGGGGTAGCGAAGCGCACCGGGTTCAGCTAGTATATATATATATATATATATATATATGTATATATATATATATATATATATATATATATATAGATATATATATATATATATAGATATATATATATATATATATATATATATATATATATATATATATATATATATATATATATAATAGTGGTATTGAAATTTCAATATGTACAATATATTCTGGATTGTTGTTCCCTACTCACTTCAATAAACTTCATTATAGCTGGTATAATACTTATATACATAGTGCTTTTTTTGGCTTCACATGCACATATCTGTTGATTGGTTGGAGATACAGTCTCCAAATTTGGAATACGTAACGGAATTTGTAACAAAAATAAGTTTGCCAAATTATATTGTAATCGGTTCAGATTTGGATATAGCTCCCATATATATTTTCGACCGATTTCGTTAATTTGATGCCTCAAACACAATATGAACGTTCGATTCCAATGAAAT